ATTTTTGATAAACGAAACCCGCAACGGGTTGACAGATTGGTTCTGCAACCACGGCAACTCACATATTAATTATTGGCCCACAATATTGAAACAGAAACCCCTGCAAATTCTCCGAGGCAGTTGACAAATCGATTTCTTTCCTTTTTCCATGGCCAACAAGAGGACTGACCTGAGAGCAAGTCCTTGCTGCTCTGGCCCTAACTTTATTCAGGTTTCAGTTTCGATTTCTGATTCTCTGCCCACTTCTGCATCCAGGACATCCGTTGGTGTCAATTAGGCTGGGGAAAGCATTGTTCGCCAGCAAATTGGCATTTCATTATGGATGCCGTCCTGTTGCCATCACATTGCGCATTCATGGAGCTGCTTATCACTCGATTCGAATGTGGCAGGCGATGCCTTTCCTCGGGCTTCTGGCTGGGTATCGAGTATCCTGTATCCTTAATCAGCCAGTCTCATCCACATATTTTCCGATTCATTGCATCGCGAGTTGTGCGGAATCATCTGAAATTCAAATATCACTGCTAGAAAGCGTAACCATGTCTGAGTCCGCCTGTATCCTGTATCCTGAATTCTGAGTCCTGCCTCCTGGTGTTATCCTTCATCCGTGTCATCATCCCCTTTCCGCACCCCCTTGCTCCCCTTTTATCCCCATTTTACGATCGAATGCTAATAAAGTCGTCTGCCGTTGGCCGTCGGCGCCAACTTGCATAATTCAATTACATCCGATGCAGACTCATAAAACTAAATCAAAGGAAAACAAAGCGTCACGCTTCATTTACTTTAGTACAGCTCCTCCTCGACGGGGGAGGTCCTTTCTGTAAGTCCCCACTTGTGGAAGTGGAGACACATCCAGCCGGCTAAGAGCAATAAAAGCGTTTGCCAAGAAGTTCTCCTTTGGCCTTTCCGTCCCCGCAAACAAGTATCCTTCGTGTTGCTAGTCTGCTTATCCTCTTTGGCCGCCACCCAAACTCCCGGCTGACAGTTGACGTCCTTTGGTTAGTGCGGCAGGATCCAGATCCCAGTATCCAGTACCCAGAACCCAGAACCCAGAACCAGCCAGACTGGTCTGCTGGCCATGAAAGTTTCCCGGCACTTCCGACGCCCCCCGAGGCGCTGCTTTGCATGGAAAGCGGCAAACAATTTCCTCGACTGAAAGTTGGCTGCGACTTTGATTCGAGTTTTCGGGGGCCCCGGCAATAATAATATCGCCCAGAATGTGATTGTCCTGACTGATTGCAGTGGTTCGGCTGGGCGGGCGCAAGTTGGCAGCAATTTCTTGCAGTGCACTTAACTTTATTGTTCGGCGGCACAGGGCGGAGGAGCTGTTGGCCTCGTGGCGGATTTGAGTTAGTGCCAGGCATCAGGCATAAAGTGTTGGCGCATTATTATCTTTCGGACTTCATAACTTTTGGCCGTAAACTTCTGATTGGGCGCCGGCGGAGTGCCAGAAGTGCCACGGCGAGACAACTCGCTTGAAACAACATTTGCCTTGCCAATTGTAAGGCCACAGAGTTCAAAGTTCCGCCACCCTCATTATTTTCACATTTATCGAGCTAATTAACAGTTGCGAAATACGTGAGTCAATTGAGGCGGCGCTTCCCTCATCTCGAAGACGTCAAAACGAAAAGTATTTAAACTGAATGTGCCACATCACCAAGGAAAACTCGACTGACAGCGAGTGTTGAAAGGAGGGAAGAACTTTTAAAAATGGTTCGACAGGCGTGGCAGGAAATGAAAAGGGGAAAAGGGGTGAGGGGAATCCTCAAAAGATGTTTGATTTGACAGCCATTCAAGGACTGCAGCTGCAGCTGCACTCGAGTCCTTCGAAATGGTGGTCAGTGCTGGTCATTTCCGGTCTTTGCCAGAGCGAATAATGCACAATCCTTTTTAATACTTTTTTTATCCTTTTTGGGCAGAGTACAATGTCCTGCGAGTGTCTGCCAAGTCGCAAAGTGCTTCCTTATTTTCTGATCCTGGCGCCTTGGAAGTCTGCGTCTCGGTTTCAGTATCCGACTGGGTTTTATGATGGCGCAACAATCTGCCGGCTGTCAGGATTACTTTCATGCGGCAATTTGTTGGCCAGTTGGCAACTTTGGCCCCATCCCGCTGTCCGGGATCAGGAATCCACCCCGGTCCTTCGGCCAACTCCTGCCGGCTTCTCCCTTTCTGGTCACGTGCCCATTTTGTTTACATGCCGCATTAAGGGGATTCCATTCCGTTTAGTTTTCACTCGCTGTGTCTCTCTTTATTGCGATTTGATTCCATTTTCTGTTTGCCACACACATTCCTTTTGTTGCACAACCCCCCGACTAAATCCTGCCACAGATCAACGCATATTTGTTTTTACTCCAGCATTATTATCCCTATTCCACCCTTTCCTTCTCCTTCCCCCGAAATCCCTGATGGGTTTGGTGTGAACTTTGGCACTCGGCTGCAGCTTTTCCTCCGGTTTATCCTTCCTCCTGCGAGTCCTGCAACTCCGCCTGCAACTATTTATTTCCACTCGTGTTTCCACTTCCATTTACTGTTTTGCTGCGGCTGCTTATGGTGCACTATATCCGCCTTAGAGCTGCCATTTGTTGCATCGGGGGTTGACTGGCTTAGCCTCTCCTCTTCCGCACTCCACTCTCCACTTTCCACTTTCTACTTTATCTCCGGCAAGTCTTACACTCATTACTCAAGGAGCGAGCGTGTGGCCAAATCCGAGTGGTAGAGTGGAAGAGTGGGGGGTTTCTGGGTGGGAATGGAGATGTGCGATGCGCGATGTGTTTGCCCCGCCGATAAGTGCTCGGCTGGGGGATTAGTGGTCTCTTATCAGTCGGTATTGGCGTAGTTCACCTTCGGGGATTTTATCACAGGCAATTTACTTGCTGGCAGCTTAATGGCGCCCAACGTGGCACGTGCCCCACGTGCGAACAGCTCGCAACTCGCAACTCGCAGTCGTTTGTTGAGATTGCAGAATTTGAAACGGGGTTGACTGCCGCCTGCCGCCTGGTTGGTTAGCCATGAAAATTTCAATTATTTTCCAAGGCCCTGTTATGATTTGTAATTGGTTTTCCCTTCTCCGCTTCATTTCACTCCCAAGTCGTGTCGTTTGCCTTCCTTAATTAAAAGTCCGAGCGTATCGCAGCGGACAAGTTGGAGGGCCTAAAAAGTTGGCACTTTTTTGTTTGCCTTCGCTCGCCTTTGGTAATGAGGCATTCTCCGATCTAATGGCGAACTAATCAACCTTTTTTAATTGAATTCCTGGCGACGAGGCTGTCGTGTCCAGAGGCCGTGGGACAAATCAACGAAAGTTATTTCATTAAAAAATTTTAATTGACATTCGTTCTTCCAGCAAATTAAGCTTTGTGTCGTAAAAATATCTGCCCATTTCAGCAAGAAGTTTCGTCCAGGCCATCTGTCAGCTGGACAGGGGACCTGTCCCAGGACCTCTTACCCCGCTCCCTTTCCCTCTCCTTGATCTCCCCATTTCCTATTTTCACTTGCCAAATGAATCAAGCTGACAGAGCTCATATATATTTCTATTACAGTGTTTTTGTTTTTTTTTTTTGCTACTCGAACTTTTTGTGCAGAGCTCGCTGTTCCCTCTTTATAGATATTTTGATGTAATTACTGCGACAAGTTGCCCAATTTGCTTAGTTCGGAGTTCGTTTTATTTAATTAGTTTGGAGATTGTTTGCCCCTGTCCTTTGGCTCCTGTTTTCTGCTGTTTCTGTTTTTTTTTTTCTGCCACTTTAGTTGGCAACAGGAAATTGCTCCGTTTCGTCGGCTGTTGAGTGACAAATTGAATTTGCTCTGACAAAATGGGGCTACTTGCGAAGGGCAGCCGTTCATCAGTTTCTGTCACAGGGACAGTGGATATATCAGCCACTCACACTCTCGAGCAATTAGATTTTTAGTACTATATCTTTCTGGCCACTAACACGCTGCATTGTTTCGCCACACAAAAAACCCATTTGGGGAGGCAACCTAGTTTATCTGGGGCTGCTGTCCAACATTCCCCAAATGCAACCAGAGGTCCTCTTAGGGATATTTAGTGCCATGCTCTAATTTCACAACAACAGTGCAGACTTAGCTGTAACTTTGTTGGAACCAGTTTAAGTCCGAGCTCTAGTCAAAAAAAGAAAACAATTTTAAGAGACTGAAAGTAATCCAAGCTTAAAACTCACCTACGTACTTTCCCAAATATAAAGTTTGTTACTAGTAAAACTGTTAAAATAAAGGTTGAATCCATATAATTTTGTAGTTTGTAGATTAAACTTGCATAAAAGTATATAATTTTTTAAACTCTTTTCTTTTTAAACTTAAAAAATATAAATCGAGATTAAAAAGTGAGGTTTCGATTTTTTGTAGAAAATTCAAATCATCTTTTTTATTTCCCTACCAAATTTCATAAAAACCCATTTAACCTATTTTCCCAAACCAACCTTGCGTTTTGAATATCTATAATTCATATCTCGAATAATAAAACCCAAACGCAAACACCATTTTTTAAGACCTTTCAGCCTTTTAAGACTGATTTTATTTGACACAAATTCATAAAAATTATTCAAAATACGCACTCCGAGTGGAGCCAGTTCCGTTGGACTTCCGCAAAGCGAACGCAAGGAGCCAAAACTCAACACGACATCAAGTGCAATCATAAACAAGCGCAGTTTACAGCAACAACAACATTTATCGCTAGCCATTTGCAAAAAAAATGCGCAACAGTTGCATGTGGCAGGCAGTGGCAACAACACCAACAGCAACAACAACAACACAAAACAAACAATTGTCCTTTCTCTGGCCCTAAAATCCACGCCACCCCCTTTGGCCGCCCAAAATTTACTGCCGGCATTTCAGCAGCAAAACACCCAACAAAAAGCCCCGGAAAAGTGCGCATGTGCCCACAGGAAAACCGAGTGCTTTCCTCGTGGGGTAAGTTCGTTGAAAAGAGAGTCAAGAGTCGAGGACTCCGAAGGACCTTCCGTTGATTCAGTCGCTCGCCACTATTCGAAACACTCGGTCGTCGAGGACTTCCACCGCCGGAAATTGTGGGAAAAACTACGTGTGTGCGGGTGTGTGTGTATTTTCGAGGAAAACGCGAAATTCTCCGTCCAAACAACAACAACAACTGCAACTACTGCTACAACTACCATTGCCAGTGGCGAAAAGCCGTAGTTCCTGCGAAGGGCCGCAAGCCGCAAAACCGAATCATTAATAAAGAAAAGCCCTGCCGTCGACAATATTGTTTCGCGGTCTCCGCATGTTGACACGGCTTAAATGGGGCATTAAGTGCTCGGTGTGCAGTGTACTATATGAGCATACGTGCTAATCAAAAGTGTACAAATTCCAACTGGCAGTTGCAAAAGTATGAAAACGAAAAAGGATTAAGCTCCGTATCCACATCAGTCGAAAGGTCCTGAGTCGACGGGCGTAAAGCTGATTGCCCGGTGAAATAAGTAAGCATTTAATGTGTTTTGTTGCCTCTGACCGATTTCAACACCCGCTTGAACCCGTCACAATGAATCGCACCCATTTCAAACTCTCGACCGGAACTAAATAAATAATTGTGCTGGGCAACCCCTCCCTCCATCACGTATATATGCTTTTTTTGCTCTTTTTTATGGTGTCACATTGCGTGACTGAGTGAGTTTGCGAGGGTGGACTGACACTAATTGCTATGTGTGAGAATAGTGGCTTTTACCTCCGAGCGACAAGAAGTAGGCAATAAAAAGCAAATGCAAACTCTGCTAGACTAAATGAGCAGCCAAAAAATAGGAAAACTTTACGATATAGGACTCCAACTGTGGTATGCCCTTACTTTTTTAGCCTGTCTGGTCTCTAGAATAAAAGAAACCTTCTTCCGTTTTAATTATAGTTACAACATTAAATTTAAATATGCCTTTAATTTTCGTTATTTAACACACACATTTAACACAATACAAGAAGATAAGCAGAACAGAATCACGTTAGACCAACTTCACCTTTAATAAAATGATTTTCTTGTAAATAAATTTTATACAAAAAACATAAATTATATGGATATTTTTTTCTAAGAGCAATCAATTACGCCAAAAATTTAATAAATGAGGACTTCGTGTTATATATTTAACGTTCCTTGCATTAATTATTTCCTTTGCAAGTATAACTTTTACTTTAGACTTTAAGCAGGAAAAGAACGAACTGGGAAAGTCGAACAGTATTTCAAAATTTAATCTGAGTGTTTAAGACAATTGGAATTTATCGATCCGAAACGCAATTCAATAACTCTAAAATTTGAGCTAATAGAATTTATTTTTACTGTATTTCATCCAACAATAATAAACCTTGCAATCTTTTTGAGTATGAGTTGTGTTTTTGTTTAGAAATATTCTGCAATACTACAAAATGTGTTTTTGTAGAAAATATTTGAAACCAGTAAATAACTTTACCTCTTGTTCTTACTTTCAATTAAAAAGGGAAGTACTGTGACTTATAGAGAAGTTAGAAAAGTACTTGATACGAAAGTAACACCAATTACACCCTGACCCTCTAGGAGTTCCCCGTCCAAATGGAGATGAATAAGGCCGAAAATGCAAATCTCTCGTTGCGCTCGGCCGCCTCTAAATGGGCTGGCCCGGCACTTAGCACCGCCCAACCACCGAGCCACCCAACCACCCAACCACCCAACCACCCAAGCACCCATGAGCCATAAGCATTTGGGCAGTGGCCACCCAACCACCGCACCACTGAGTGCACGCCAACGCCTCGACACGACAGTCACGTTGATTGAATGCCTAAGTGCCCGACCAACAACCAACAGCAGCGGCAACAAAGGAGGCACAAAGTGAAACTAAAAGTTGGCCTAAGTGTGGGGCACAGTTTCCTTTTTAGCCCTGCTTTCCTTCTGATTAGGGGTCTTTGGGAAAATATGCATAGATTAGGCACGCTTTTAGCGCTCGATTGCAGGGCACTCGGCTTGATGTTTCAATTAGGGCCATAAAACTCTAAAAAGAGGGCCACTGAAGGAGACTGGCTCGTTCTGCTCGCCTGTGTCCTGTGTTGACCCAGATAGCCGGCTCAGATGTCGTTCCGAGTCAGATTTTCGCCTGAGCCGGGGAAAATATCATTTTAATAACCGAAATGACAGCCATAAATCAATGATTATTGCCCCATTGTCTGGAGGGGATTTTGGGTGTCGGTCTTTCTCGTTGTCGTTGTCGTTGCCGTTTTCGTTTTCGCTGCCTTCGTCATTCGGAGGGGCTTTAAAACCGAGGGACCGACTGTCGTTGAGATACTTTTGCGGAGATAAAAGTCCCCATTCCCCCCTTCCATCCCCTTCCCTTTCCCCCCCTTTTTGGGTGTCGTCGCTTAGCTGGGCTTCTGTCACTCGGCACCATAAATTCACGCCACATAATATTGAAAATTCCCATCAGGCGACCGCACGGTGTTGAGTTAAACTCGTAAAACGTAATTGAGGTTGTATTTCATGTTAAATGGCCAACTGGCCAGTGTCGCAGTTCGCCGTCCCGGGGATCAGGCAACTGGATATGTGAGACGGTCATTATGGGGTTATTTACTAGGCACTCGCCTCCATGCAGACGAGCATCCTTAAAAGCTTACATTCTGTTTACCCAGCTTTATACTGCAAATCCCCCCGTGTCGTTAGATTTTCAGGTCTTTAGTTTCAAACACAAGCCCTGAAAGCGCAAATGTATTCTTTATGTTATAAAATGTACCAAAAAATTACACTTTTTAATAGGAAAGAAATAAATAATCCGGCTTTTGGTTTTGTACTTTAATTTTAAAGCACCAAATTTCTGTTGCATAACTTTCGAAATCCAAGATTGTTAAAATACATTTTGTGCAAACGCAAAAAGTACATATTTACATAAAGGAAAATCCAACACAATGGAAATTAATTTGCATATGACTATTGTTGATTTATTTTATTTCATGTGCGTTTGAATAGCTTTCACATTTTTGCACGCCGTTCAAATTCACTTTCAATAAGTAATCATTTGGTAAATAATTGGAAGGTTAAAATTGCTGAATTTTTCTCAAACGAAAATACAATTTATGCCGTTTTGCAATAAGCGGAATATAATCCCACCCTAATCGTTATTATTGGAGCCAAAGGTCAATAATTTTCGTAGCTTATGGGGGGCTATAATTACGAAAGTAATTTCCAAACTGTTGGTAATTAGGAAGCCCACATTAAGTGGAAACTGTCATCATGCGAAATCGCACAAATTGTGATTTTAATTGCTTGGCCAGGCTAGACACTAATGGCAAAGCGACCCGATTCAACCACGAACCTGAATGTCTTTCATTAGAGGTCCTGGTATTTCGGCCAAATATATTTACTACACATGTTCGGCTGAAAATCGTTAGCTCAGTGGAGCGCAGCGACAAAATGAAACAAAATGGTACAAATCGAGCCGACCTTTTCCCCAATCCCCGTCTCTCCCCTCTTGCCATAATGTAAATTAATTGCCTGCACAAATTAGCCAGTCCGACGAACATTTTGGACATTAGGCCGGGAATTTTCGGCGCCACGCTCGGGGGCAGTGCAATTCCCAATTGTTGGCACAACATTCGGCAACAAATTCGGCATTAAATATACAACAATACTCAGGTAATGCCAGGTAAACATGGCAAACTGTCGCTCGTTACTTTTAATCAGTTATCAAAATTTATGTGCTACAATTTGTCCGGTCAGCGCGAAAATTTCGCATTGTGTTTTTGGCGAAGTCCATTCTCCATTTGGAGTCCATTTTCAAATATTTACGCCCATTTAATGAGCTTCGACCTCGGCAACGCGCTTGTTTATTCACCAGACAAATTAAAGCAAACGAGGCATTTTTTTAACAACAAAAAAATATGTTAGGCAGTTCGTTTTCTAAAGAGAATACATGAATGTAGTATGTAAAACAAAATCACAAGTAAATTACCACATGTTTTGTGATACGAATCTAATAGAAAAAACTATTAAGTAATATATCAAATAAATATATATCAAAAAATAATTAAATGCTTTATACGTCATATAGAATTAATCGATTGTAATTTAATGGTAATAAACTAAAAAATTTATTTTTATGAAATTTTTTTGTTGTTATGTTATATACAATAACAAAAACTAATATAAGATACAAGTTTTTTGTTAGTAATAATTTAATAAAGTAAAGCAAGGCTCCCTTACCACTTAAAAGCAAATAATATTTTATCTTAACGAAGTGTTCTTAAAAAAAAAATGTATCACCGTTTCATCTAATAACTTTTTTTTTATAAAGTACTGGAAAACCTCATAAGCTTCCTAAATAAGGCTTGAAACTGTTTGCTGTAGAGTTTTTACCACTCTTTATTGCTCTTTTTCATTTTAGGTACAAATTTTTAATACTCTGAAAAATAAATTTTTGTTTTAGTGTGGCTAGTCAGTTAAAGCTAATGAGGCTTGCCTTTGGGATGAGAACAAAAGCAATTCGATACTTTGTTCGGGGGGAGGAAAAACTATTCGCATTTTGTGCCCAGCAAAAGCCGTGGGCAAAACTAAATTTGAGTTTCAGTTTACTGAATGTTGGCCACTCGCATTACTCCAATGCGAAATTTTGTTTTTGTTTTTATTAGCCAAGATAGATTCCATCTGAGTTTTAATAGCCAAGGAGATGGATATCCTGCCGCACTCGGTTGTTTATCATCAGTTAGTCGAGAGGTGGGGAATTGCCAGTTTTGGTTGCTACTCGGAAAAGCCCCGCGGCTGTTTTCCCAGCAAAAGCAACAACAAATGGGATTGGGATTGGGAATGGGATTGGGATTGGGAATGGTAGCAGGAGCTGGGAAATGGGGAAATAGGAAAGCGGGAGTGGGCGTGAAGTGGGTGGGCTGAAGCCATGACAGGGCATTTGGGGTTGGGGTTGCGCAGCCGGGGAACTGGAAACGCTAAGCAAACAGAGCCCCGCAAAATGGAGAAGGAGCAATCGGTAGAAATAAAATATTAACTCAGCCCACCCCCCACTCCACAGCTCACGATTCAATTAGAAGCGAAAGCCATTTTATAATTGAAACGAGTCGGGAGGAGCCTCAGGCCCCGTTTCCCCCACTCCACCAAAGCGAAAGCCTTTTCAATCTAGGCCCGATTCAGGGGGCCGGAAAATAATACACATCGATAAATATTAGCCGGGAAAAATGATGCAGGCAGCGGCAAAGATTATTATTCATTACGGAACCGACTTCTCCCTCAGATTTTCCCCCGAGTAATTGAAAAGTTTTCTCATCCGTTCATGACTCATCTTGCGGCATCATTCCTTTTGCTTCAGAAACAACAGAAAAATGCTCAATTTGTCACTTGCCGAGGGGAAGAAAAGGGGGCTGGATTCGTAGGCGTGGCAGACTGACAGATGATGCGTGTGACTAAGCACAAAATGCTCGAGGGAAACTTATTTTCCCCCGTGAGTTTCCCTCCTTTGATTATGATTGAGTTGATGTAGTTAATATGTTATCGACTCAGAGGATGATTGCTGTAAAACATGGGTGCTCCTCCCCCCTTTGCTCCCCACTTTTTCCACTCCAGGAAGTCCTTCCTGCTGAATGTTTGTCTGCTGCTCCATTTAAATCAGTTACACGGGTTCCCCCTCAGAAAAAACACACACAAACAGAGCAAAAGACACACATTCCCCCTCGCTTATTTGTCTTTTGAATTATTAATGCACTCGCTGAATGACTTCGGAAGCCCAAGGATTCGTTCTCCTTTTGCAGATGCGACTGCTTCTGCTCCTTTTGCTCCTTTTCATCATGATAAAGGTGATGATGATGGGGCTGAAGTAGAAGGTGGCAGTTGATGCTGATGATCAGGCCCTTAATCAAGTGATTTAGTTCCATTCCCGCGGCGCTCCTTTTTGGCGCAGATAAGTTTAATTAAAAAGACCGCAGCATTCCTTGGCTAAACTCGGAAATTGCCTTAGTCCGGTGGAAACTATCTCCTGTTGGTTAAACTTTAAAATTCCAAAAATGTTTCAGCGCAAAAAACAAAAAAGAGAAATCGAAAACGCCGGCAAAAAACTTTTCTGATTTCGATTTTTATTGCGACTAGAAAACGGAAGAAGTGAGAAAAGAGAACGATTTTACCATGGAGATTGAAGCAGTTTGGTTGCTTCTTGGCAACAATTTCATTTTGGGAGCACTCGACTGTCCCACCGACGGTTCCGCCCTGCCAACCACCGCCCCTTGCACTTTGACCCACCAACCGACCAACCCAGCAAACCCACCAACCAACCAACCAACCAACCCACTCCGCAATTGCAGTTGGCATTCCTTTCGGGTTACCTGCACACGCAACCAGCAAGAATAAACAGGGGGAAGGACGAAGGAGCACCTGAATAAACACGTAGAACAACAACAATGCGAGGGGGTTAACCACCTCAACCACTTGAACCACAAACATTTCGAAAGCCAAAAGTTGTTCCCTTTTTCCAGTTCATAATTTATGCCAAACAAACACATAAATATTACCTCAAATTTATTAAAGCGCCAACTTACTTCCACCACCAATTCATACTCGTATGCGATGTGAGTTAGTCACTCCGGGGAAAGTTGGGATGGATCTCCTTCACAACTTAAAGCTGTTAATCTTTTTCCAACTTTCTAATTACTTTTGCATGGGGGAACTTTCTATTTTGTTTTTCAACCACACGTCACCACGATTGCAAAGTCCTCTCATAAACGTATCTCTTTTCTCGACTTGTTTTTCCCCTTTTGCAGTTTGATTTGCACTAAACTAAATCACTTTCTATTCACAGAAACTGGACTTTAACAAGGGGAAAGTCGGAGAAAAGCAGGTGGAGAAAGGTGGCACGCGATAAAGCAGAGGAGAAGAAGTATGAAGTGACCGAAAGCAGGGAAGTGACAGCAGATAGCCACAAAACAACACACGGCAAAGGAGGAACCAGGAGGAAACCAGGACTAGTTGACAGGAGCTCAGCCAATAAAAGCCAACCAAACTCAGTCTGGACCAAAGTCGGACACACTGATGCAAAAAGCCGGAGGAGGAAGGACTTTTCCGGGGGAGGAAGGCAGCAGCAACCGTAGCAAAACAAAACTGGAAAAGTTGCTCTGAATCATATTGCAGGAGAGGGAAAAGGAGCAGCCAGCGGAAGCCGAGGCTGAAAAGTTCCCAAATTTGGTAGACGGACCCCTTTTGGCCATTGGCTGTCCTTTCCCTCCTTCAAGCGGAACAGTTAGCTGCAGTTGGAATTTGATTTTAACGCTTGTTCGAGGGCCTGGGATCTGTTGTGAGTCCTCTGTTTGTGGCACCAGCCACTGACAACCGTCACCCGAAGCAGCGGCAACTGGCAGGCGAATTAAAATCTGCAGAGGAAAACCCCACCCGGAAAACTCCCCCTCACTCCCCTTAAAGCTGCGCTTCAATGGCCACACATTGAGATTGGCCGTCAAAGGGGAAAGCCCGGAAGAGGAGCGAAGGAGGAGTGGAGCTGTGGAAATGGTCGCCACTCTTGGCGACACATGCTCTGACAATTTATTGACTCCACGCAGCACCCACTACCACTGAGTAGAACCCCTCCAAAATGGGCCACCTTCAACCCCTTCCCATTTTCCTGCTCTGGCTGGCGATTTCCACTTCGGTCAGCGGCTATCTGAACATTTTCATCAGCCACCACGAGGTGATGAAACTGATGGGTAAGTCCAGATCCAGTTCCGGTGGCTAATCCATTAATGAAACTCCAATTGGGGGAACTAACTGAAGAATGACACACCCACTCCAAGCCAGAACATATGATTAATAGTTGGAGGCCAAAGTGCGGCAGGACAAATTCATTGATCCCCGACCACGAAAACACAAACAATCCCGGAGTCGGCGACCATGTCACAGTCATTAATAGTTCCGAAATTATAGTTGACCATTAAGGAGAGGTTCTGGGTGGAGTGATGAAGGGAGGGGTGGAATAGTACAGGGATACTTAGCAAGGCGAGACCACAACAAATCGCACACAAATCGATTTCCGTTGGGCCTAAACCTGAATTGCTGAGCCACTGAACCACCCAACTTCACCTTGCTGACAGCAGCAAGTAGCTTTCCCCCGTTTTCCATTTCCCTCGAACATTTCCCCCCTTTCCTCACTTCCCTCCTCATCTTCAGTCTGCTTTCCATGTTATTTCCCTGTCGGCTGTTCCTTGTTTGTTTTCTTGATTTTCCGTTTGTTGCTCCACGCGAATTCTTGTTATTGATGGCGCCGGCTCCAGATCGAGCCAAGGCCAAGTTCCCCCACTTCCGAATCCACTCCCACTTTCCACCCACTCTTGATGGGAGTTGCATGGATTTCATAGACGTGCCAAGGCGGAATGGCCTCGTGCTTGTCGTTTGGCTCGCGATTTTCCTGCTCCTCAGGTTGATTAATGGATCTCGGGAAAGGAAATGGGAGTGCGAGTGCGAGCGGGAGGGGAAAACTCCGAAGAGGAGCCGTGGAAAACTGGCCTAGTTCGCGGTCGCTACTCCATCATTGGTTGCTTAGCTGGTCACAGCATTTTCCGGCACTTAGCTGTAATTGGAGCATAAACGCTTCCATCTCATTATGCAGGTTCCACTCAACTCCGTTTCCCAGTTGCCAAATCAGGGCACTTCAATTAGTAGATGGCGTAAAATAATCTACAGCTGGCGGAGATGGATTCACGATTGATGGATGAATGCATACTATTTTCCTTACTTGTTTTCCACTGTATCATCCATCTTTCCCGCCTTCAAGGCATTCAAATGCATTCGGGATCAATGTAGCAAGTGGCCTCCTTCCCGGCAATTGCACTCCACAAACACCGCTTTCCCTGCCTCCTTCACCTATTTTCCCCATGCAAATCGGATTTCATTAGCGACATTTCAAAAGAAGTTTCCACTTTGTTTGTTGCTCCTCGCCATTTTCTTTCTTCGACTCGCGGAGATTCCTTTGAGCGTCCTTCCTGCCCCTTCTCAGGTTTCCCCACTCCACCTCTGAAAGCTCGTTATGTTTTTAACGACCAGTTAACACCCCTGGCAAATGTCCCCTCCTCCATTGGAAATGGTTGCCACCCTCGAATTTGTTCCGATTTGAAAATTAACAAGCAGCATGGAATCAAACAAACTGACCCTCATTCTCTCCCATTTCTCACTCCCCAATGAAAAATTCCTGTGCATGATTTTCATCCCGACTTCCACCTCATTTCCCTTTCATCCTCGACATTTTTTCGGTCCCCATGGAAATCTCTTCATGTGGAAGGCTCGTTACGGTTGCATGGACTAGTTCCACTTCCTTGCAACAAAGTTTTCTGGGATCCATTCGGTGCACTCCCCACATGCAAATGTGGACTTCCCTTCAGCAATTTGTTGTGCGCTTTTCCACTTCTTCGGTGGGCAAAATGACACTGAACAGTAAACAAAGTTTATTGCTTTCTTATCATTTCGTCTCAATTCTCGCAGACGAATCCTTGAACTTGTTTCCTCGATGAAGTGTCGACGACATTAAAATTAAATATTTTCTGCGCTTTTGTTGGTGATTTTCCGCCTCTGAGTTCAATTTGGATGTGTTGTCCCAGCAACGAACCATTTTCCCCCGTTGCCACGCCCCCTTTTCCCTTCCCTTTCCGCCTCCCCTTCCGTTGAAGACTTTCCTGTTCAAGGGTGCGTAAAAATGCAATTTCAACAAGTTTCGCTTTGATGTGCACACTTTTTCTTTGCCACCCGATCCCCGCTCTCCGCTTTCCACTTTCCCAATCGGACCAGCTTCCATCTGGTTCACCCTTAGGGTGGACCACAACCTTCGGCGGCGAGCTGAGAAATTTCCCTGCAAATGAAAAGTTAATGCGAAAGAAAATTATTTTTAATGAATAGAAAACAGTCCCGAAATCCCCACATTAATGTACTCCCCCTCCGGGTCGCAAAATGTTTCTTTTGCAGGGTGGTTCGCCATCTGGAATCCATTTTTATTGCTCTGAAATGGGGATCAAGTGGAAGGGGTATATAGATGACGAAATCAGAAACCAATTCTCATTTCTGATTCACTGACAATTAACAGGAATTCCTTACTCAGCAATGAGGTGATTCCAGGTTCCCTTGAAATCTGAAGTTGAAGGTTGAAGGGAGTGGAGTGCATTTCCCAACTAATGACACTAATTACCCCTTAATCTCTTATGCAAATAGTGTCTGCTCTTTGTTGGCAATACTAGAGTCTCCAACTTTCTCCCTACTTTCTCCAGCACCTCTGGAAATCTCTGGCTCCCTTTTTCCCACTCTGTAATTATGAGTTGCGGTTGGAACGTCACGTGTGTGGCGGAGTCATTCAGACAATTGCAATGGCAGGTATTATAATTATGGCCAAGGATGGAAGAGGAGAGGAGGTATTCCGAAGTCAGGGAAGTGGGGAAGTAGAAATGAGGAGATATGGAAGAAAGTAGTGAAGAAAGGGGGAGGCTTTTATAAGCGCGGCGAAACTTTCGCAGGCAAAGTTGGCGGCACCGTGATATAAAAGACGAGCAAAGTTTGAAACAAGGAGGAACGGGAGCTTAAGGTGGATTTCAGGAGATATCAAGGAGCAGAGCAGGATGAAGAGGATGCAGAAGAGGGTGAGAAATGCCAATTGCCGCTGCTTGAAGTGCAGTTCACGAATGTGCTCCTCAGTGAAGCCAATCGAGGTGACAGGAACTCTAAGGGTTAAGCGAATCGAGTGGTGGAACATTTGTGACATCCCCAAATCTGATCTGAATTAATTGATGCAGTCACTTACTCAAATGCTTTCCACTCCCCTCAAAGTTCTCTAGAAAGGGATGGAAGGAAAAGGAAAGGGAAAGGACTAAAAGGCACAGGATAACCGGAACATTGTCCTTTTTCGTGTTTGTGCATAGTTGATGGGAAGCACTTTGGGGTTATGTTTGTGTTTTCCCACCAGCTCAAAAAAATGAAGTGTAGCAGCAGGTAGTTGAGGTGGTGCACTTGAATCCCAAGTTAAAAACGCGACGGGGAGCAAACCAATTTGGAACTTGAAAACAAACTCGAAATGGAAATAGGATAGAAAGCTGAGCTGGGTGAGAGAAACAGTCTGAAGATGTAGATGAAGCTGAGACCTGGATGAAAGCTAACGAAAAATGCTTTTTCTTGTTCTGTAATTGGATTTAAAATTGTTTTAAGCAGCTAGCGAGTGCTTTGTTCTATCCTAAATGCAGGCGTTTTCCTCCTGCGCCAATCATCCCCTCACTCAGTTCCCCGGAAGCGGAATTGCTACATTCAACATCCGGCGGAGTCTCTCCCCCACTCCTTATCCTTTTCCTCCAGTGAAAAGCGAACTTAGCCTGATCCTGCGGAGTAAATAATGTGGGTGAAGGAATAGAAACGGGAGAGCAACAACGAAAGCGGATGAAGAAATTTAATTTCACGTCGTTTTAACTCAAGCAGCTCGTCTTTCAGTGCCAGCGGGTGGGGGAATTTGAATGGGAGGAAGGGAATGGGAAGATCAGGACCTTTGAACCCGCCCATGCGATTCTAGCCGATGATGAAGCAGTCGCAGTTGACACCTTTTAATATCCCCAACCGAATACCGAATACCCTCTTCCCCCAGGACTCCTGTCGCTCCTCATTTTCGAAGAAGGACTCCAGACACTCCCTGCAAAGTCGCCTGCTGGTGACGGATTCGATTTCGATTATTATTGTGTCTTGGGTTTTGTTTACCCACCAGCATTGTCACCTCGAGCTGCCCGATTCCACCCTGTCTCCCCATCGAGAAAGTCAATTTCCGCTTAATGGCAGAAAAAGAAATGTTTGAGGGGAGTGTAAACAGCAAATGCACAAAGTTTGCTCAGCGGCGGGAGCTTCTGGCTCTAATGGAGTGGGTGTAACCAAGCAAATTGCGGGGAAACTTTCGCTTTGCGACTGCAGTGCATCCGCATCCGCATCCGCATCCACTCTCACCTTCTCCTTTTTCGATTCCCGCAGGACTCGAGGCGGACCTGTTCTATGTGCACGAGGGAGCCATCAACACGTATGCGATGCACTTCACCGTGCCAGTGCCCGCGGATGTCCACGAGCTGGAGTTCTCCTGGCAGAGCCTCATTGCGTATCCAGTAAGTTTCGTTGGACCTTCTAAGGGAAACCCCTCACTATTTAGTCTTCCCCCCTTTTTGCAGCTGCCTTATGCCATAAGTATCGAGTACAACACCGACCAGGAGGCCCTGGGCACGCCCACTTTGAGTATTCCGCACAAGGGCCTGGTGCCGCAGGAGATCGAGTCCTTCCTGGTGTATCTGCCCTGCACGGGAAATGTGAGCCTGCAGATGCCAGTCAATGTGAACATGGTGGTCCGAGCACCTCCTCGATTCAACGACACCCGGCTGCACTTCAAGCGCAACAAGATCTGTGCGAAAGGTGGGTCTACCATCGGCACTTCCACACCCACTCATCCATCATCCATCATCCATCACTCATCCGTATCCGTTTCCCGTTTCGCAGGCATCTCACCTGAGCCCAATCAATCGCCCGCCCCCGCCCACGCCCCCTCGCAAGGACCCGCCCTCCTGAGCGCCGCCGCCTGTGCTCTGGGATTGGTTTTGGCCGTTGGGCTCGTGGCCAGCATGATGTATGTGAGGGCCCGCAAACAGCTCCGCCAGGACTCGCTACAGTAAGTTATCCTTCCCCCCACCCCCCTCGTTTTTTTAGCCACAACCCATTAACACTTTATCCCGAACCTCAGCACCAGTTTCACCACCGCAGCATACGGCAGCCACCAGAACGTGTTCATCCGCCTGGATCCTCTGGGCAGACCGCCGAGTGCCACGGGATCCTATGCGACCATTGCCAGCCTCAACAAATACCCGGCGGACAGCAAGAAGTCCTGCAGCATATTCGACCGTAAGTTCATTAGCCACTCTGCGTAGATAACTAACCCCAATCGCATTCGCATTCGCATTCGCACAATCCACAGGTTTCAGGAGCTCACCCACGCCAACGCCCTATGCCACCGCCCTGCTGCCCATGAACCTCGAGCAGACCGCAGAGACGATTTACTCGAAGCCGGAGTCGATCTGTCCCTCGAGGATTTCCTACTACGCCTCCTCGCAGCTGACCCAGGTGAGTCCTTCTTTCAACTAGCTAACCCACTATCGGGTATCCCAGGGGTTTGATTGGATTCGAAATGGGGTTTCGGACTGGGACCCACTGCTAAATCAAAGCCTTTGATATACTGCGACACGTGGCAGGCCAGATGGAAATGGAAATGGTAATGGGAATACCCTTGAAGCTGACTCCGCTTTCCCGAGTTGCCAGGACTACCCTCTAATTTGTGCCAAGCACCACTCGATTGCTCCCCGGGCGAAGGACCCTCCTTCTTCACCCAACTGCCTTCCTCGACGATAAAAATTAAATTCTAATTTATATTTACGAGCTGATAAAGCTCCCGTAGTGCGTTAAACTCGAAACAAGAGCCATTCATAAATATGCGGCTTTCCCCCTTCGTTCCCCGTTCCTCCGCTCAAGGATGTCTGGATGTCTGGGTCTGATTTCGGATGGGGAAACTTTGCTGTGCCGCTCACGTACCTCATGTGGCAGGTGGAAGGTTGTAGAAGGTGGTGGCAAGAGGCGACACACAAACCCAGTGCCTCGAGAGTCGAGTGATGTGAGTCTGGCGGGGAAGGAGGTGGAATGTCCGCTCAGATAAGCGAAGGTGCTCCATTGAGGCGGACGCAGACAGTCTGCACCTGTTTATCTTTGTTTTTGTTTCCAATCCAGTTAATCTCTACAATTTTGCTCCCTCTGGGTGAAAATTAGCAAACTTAATCCAAACTAACCACAAAATGAAGCGAACCATTAAGGTTCCCAAGATTATTTTGCATGGACTTGGGGATGTATGTGCCATGCCTCCTCCTTAAGGCATTTTCCCTCTAGGGAGAACATTAGCATTTCTTTTGGGCCAAGTTAACTTCTTGGCGTTGTGGAAATCCCTGCCAAATTGGAATAAATTATTTAGCAGCCTCTTTCAATTGTTGTCCTTGTAAACATTCCTAGGACTCCCAGAACTCGCTGGCATTTTTCTAGTCCCACTCCACTTCGCCAACATCATGATGTCTGGGCCATTTTCGTCACCAAGTTCTAACGCAATTTCCATCGACGCATAATTAAATATTCAATTTCCAAGGAGACTCGAGGGGATTTTTATGTGCTCAGCTTAAAGCATGTCCTTTGGCTTGATCCCATCGCCTGTTTGCCCAACGATTTCTGTATGTTTAGACTTCAATTCCGTTCTCATTATGGAAACAGCCAACTCACTTACATGGTTATCAGGCGGCGCACAATGCCAAGAGTCATATCCATTTGAATTCGTCTCTATCTAGTGGAAGGACCCATCGAAACAGAAGGAAGGGAATTACCCTAACCACACCCGCTCCTTCGATATATATCCTCCCATTCCCACCAAATTGGAGTGGATATTCTGTGGATTCATAGTGGGGATGGATGTGCGGATGTGGTTGGAGTTGGAGAGTGCTTGCCATAATTATTGTTGTTCCGTTCCGTTCATATCCCCATCTGAAGGATCCTTTGACTTCCACTGCTTCCCTTCCCTTCCTTTTGGCCATATGTGTGAGCGTTAAGCGAAGTAAAGCACATTTTGGGGGCACAAACAAGAGGCGAACGCACTCATTTAGTCAAACAATTATATCCAATTGCACACAGACACTCTACGCACCCACACACACAGACACACACACACATCTGCAGTCTGGCTGTGTTCACTTGTGTGGAAATATCTCATTTGTGTGTGGGGCCACTCCCCTGCTCCCCCTTCACCCCTCCCCTTTCTATTCTATTAAATCAGTCTATAAGCGTTGGCCAAATTGCTTTAATGTGCAGCGAAAGTTTAGCAAAAAGCAGTAACAGCGAAGGTTATAACAAAGGGGGTGGAAAGGGGGTTGGTGGGGTGGTTAAGGGGGAACTAAACTTGGGGGAAGTAGTGGAACATAACAATAAAAACAGCAGCGATCAGACACCAGACTACAGCTGCTGAAACATGACTTTGTGCTTGTTTAGAAACACTTGCAAAATATTATTGCAGCACCAACAACAAGAGGGAAATTCCAAAAAGGAGGCTCAAATGGGACAACGGGGCGGATGCGCCATGTGCAGGGGATCCAACAGCCAGAGAAACGGAATCTAAACAGAGGCATTAGAATATTGGTTCAGCTGGCAGCAGAGAGCAAACAGAACAGAACCCCAAAGGCTGTAATGGGTTAAGGAGGAACCTAGAACATCGCGCCACGCATTTGAATGGCATCATTAAGGAGAAAGTTGTCGAAGAGCTTGGGAGTATTTGCTCTGCAGAAGGAATTACGAGGCGGGGAAAAGCGGGAAAAAGTTGGAAATTAATTTCCATGGAGCTGCGAGCATGTCCTCCTGTTTTATGGAGATTACCGAATCGACAAATGGCAGGCAACCTGAGCAACAACAGGAACAGGTGCTAATTAAAAATGTTGTTGTCGCCCCATTAAAGAAATTTGTAAATCAACCAGTGCTCAGCATGGGGCAAAGTCATGCTCCATGGGGGGAAAATCCTGGGAAAAAGGGGAGTCATCTCTCCCCAGTTAAAGTCGGCAACACGTAGTCCGTTAATGGATTTACCGCATTTCATGCTTTTGATTAAAAGGCATTAGTTACATTTGTGAAAAAACTTTGGGGTGAGAGGGCAAAAAAATCACATTGGAGCTTCAAGAAGATAGTTAATGGGTGACGGGGTATGTGACCAGCCAGGTGGCGACTCCAAGGGTTAACCCGGCGAACAAAAGCCGTCGCCAAAGGTTGACAAATTACCCAGCCACCGGTCGATATTTTTTCAAGTCGCTCTCGAATCTCCCGTGGGGATTCCCCCTTTTTCGGTCGGGCAAACTGCGCGGATGCTTTTGTCTGGCATTACACTATATTGATTGCTTCCTGTCAGCCGCAGGAGAGACAAACGGAAGTGGCGGATGTTTCTTTTGTCCCGACTTTCCCTTTGTGGTCCAAGGACCAAAAGGAAAATCCCCCCTTTCCCTTTTTGTTCGTTTCACTCGATGCAAGCTGCACTTCACTTTTTGCGTTGGCGCTACATGGAAATCGTTTGAAGCGAATTAGAGTACAAGATTTCTCCATTAAAATGTGCTTGTGTTCGGTGTCCGTAGCTTTAATTGACAGTTTTCCAATTGGCATACAAGTGCCCAACTGCTGGGCAAAACTTCACTGCGCTTTCGGATTGTGCAATCATTTAATTTGCAAAGTCAACAAACCGAGAAAATCAATGGAAATCCGTGTGGTACATGTGTAAATGGTGCAAACGCATTATGGAAACCAGAATCAAAGGGGGCGAAAAGGGGGAATGGGGAGGGGGCAGGGAGTAGGGGGCGTGGCCCGGACACGCAATGGCTAATTGAAAGGCAATTATGCGTGATTAAGTGCGTGTAAGCGGCGACTTCGGTTAAGTATGCGCCACCTTTAATTAGAAGCCGGTAAAACCAGCCGACATCTTTGCTCTTCAATTATGCATTAGTCGAAGGAACCTTTTTGGGTTCCACGAAAACGCTTATTAAACGACGGGCCTAACGAGGTCGGCTCATCAAAATGCCATGCATCAAAGGAGGGAGCGAAGGGAAGAGGGCGAGTTAAGGGGAATTTGATGGGCGGGGCTGGTCGAATCGATCAGGCATAAATCAAACGAAATTCAAATTAGTCGGCCCGGGCAAATTAGAAGGCACACACAGTTTGTCCTGGCAGCATCGGCCATGGAAATGCCAAAATAATGAGAGTTCAGTTAGTTGGCCCAGAAGGAAAAAAGGCAACTGCAGAGGGAAAAGTCAGACAGAGAGGCTTTCCACTTTGATTAAAGGCTTTTCCACATCACAGGGAAAGTTGGAAGGGAAGCGAAGAGACCTGTTGTCAGGTAAATTGAAATATAATTGAGCCAAGGACGACGAGCAGGTCGCCCTGTCAGCTCCACCTGCCTGCCAGCATTTCATCTGTTTCCACTTCGCTGCGATGGCTTATTAATTCGAGGCGACAGGTCGTATGCGTGATGCGTTCAAAATTGGTTGTTATTTTCCGTCTAAAGTAAAATGCAGCCAGGGTCCCGGGAAGTGCTGCATATTTGCATCGGCATCACCAGCAGCAATTTGCATAGTTTCATTTTGTGTCAACACAAATTTTCGGCACAGTGGAACATGAATACATTATAAACCTAATCCAGGAATTGTATTTATCGAAAAGCTTACAGTCAACCTAACAAAGTTTATCATATATGGTAGAGATCGGATGCCTAAGTCAATACAATAAATATTTTAAGGGCACACTTTAAGCTTAAAACCTAAAAAGCATTAATTTTTTTACAGTTTTTTTTTTTTTTAAGTATATTTATTCTTATTGATATTGTTTACTAATTTAAATTTAAAAGTGGCAGCGGTAATACTATGATATTATTAATATATTTGTTTTTATTATTGTTATTATTATATAATTTATTATTATCATATATGTATAAATAAATAAATAAAATAAATAAATAATAAACTCTTATAAACATTCGCATGATTATTTTCAAGTTGACTTTTATTCACATTTATTTTGTGGTATCTTCTCGTGCGAAATAACATAATAAATGCCTGAGATATATTGTCCTCAAACTGACTTTCATCATATGATAAATGAAATTAATTTTTGGTTGACAATTTAAAGAGTGCTGAATGTCAGCAATAGTTTGTGTTTTTTATTTAATTAAATTAATTAATTTTTAAGAGACTCCGCGATGGTATTTCAGTATTGTGTTCGAAAAGAAAAGTTTGCCACAGAATTTTGTTAGAGGTTGCCCAACTCGAAAGTTGCAGCGGTGAGACTTCATTAAAATATTTACGCCCACCCGCCCTACTGTGCGGTGTCGGGAAAACTGTGTGAAAATTGCTGCTGCTTTTCCTTTGCCTTCACCCGCTGCTTCTTTTCCCTCTGCCGTTGCCAAAAAGTTGGGCTGCAGTTCGGGTTTGCCGGCAAGTGACGTGCTGACGGGCGACGTTCTGGCAAAATTGTCATCAAGCGTTTTTAATTACAAGCCGTGCGAACTGTGGAACCGAAAAAGGGGCGTGGCTGGGGCGGTGGAGCTGGTTGGAGCTGGTTGCGGTTGTTGTTCCTGCGGGCAGCCGTAGAGCTGCAAGTGACATAAGCAAATCAGACGCCTGTCAAGTCGTATGTGTTTCGTTGGTGTTTGTGCTTACGTCATTTGCAGGCCAACCCCCAGTAAAACACCAATCCCCCGCCCCCTGTTCCCCTCCCCTCCCCCAGCCTCTGTTGTCATTAGAAATGTCACAACAACGAAACAGGACCAGCTGCAACCCCGACTGAGAACGACTGTCCTGTATCCTTGACGCCCAGCTGGAAATTCGTTTTGAAAATCCATCCAACCACCTACCATCGTATCATGTCAAAGCGATCTGCGATCAAAAGTGGAGTGGATGGGGTCACCATCAATTGGCAGCTATTTTCGGTCTTCTTGGCCATTTCGAATTTCAAATGAAAAGCCAAGCCAATAATGTCTCCTCGTTTGACATCCGCATTTAATATTGCCCACGCCTCCCCGCAACGAAAACAGAAATGAACATTTCCATTTGGAATTCGAGCTGGGGAAAGCAGGGGACACACCACTCTCATAAAATCGGTTTCCCCATCCTTGTTTATTGGAAATAAACATTGGGCCAATCTCCTTTTAATTTTACAGACATTTTCCGGCTTTATTGGCCTGCTCACACAGAGCAAAAATTTCAAGTATTCCTCCAATGACAATCAACTAAGATTGAAAGCAATAAAGTTAAGAGGGCAGAAGTCAATTGAAGTAGACAATTATTTCGTTTGAAACCGAGTTGGAGCACTTAACTATTTATTACGCCCTTTTTGAGTGCTTTTGAATATTGCAGGCTTGATTTGGTACAATTGCAGCTACTTTAATTTCAAGGAAAGCTCTGAAAAAAGGAAATTTTTGGAGGAGTTAAAAAGACGCTGCATTGCATTTCAAATTCATATTTTACTTTTTGACTAATTAAAAAATGAAACAAATATGTTTATTCAAAAGTGTCAAATTGTTTACAGTATCTATGTCTTATAATTAAATAAATTTCCTAGTCAATCTTATTCTTATAAATGTAGTTTGTTATTTAAATAGCAGAATTCTTAAAAGTCTGCTAATTGCTGAAATAGTTTTGTATTATATATTTTTTTTTTTTGGTAATTTATAAGTAAATTAAATAATTGCACATTAACTGAGTGGATTTTTTTCCTGTGCAGCAATATTCAGTTAATAACAACTCAAACGGGTACTTTTGCAACTTCGTGTTGGCTGTTTAATGTTAAACCGATTAAATGAATTCTAATTACTCTTGAACGGGGCTCATTAACGCAACCAGGCACATGTCTCGCCATCCAACAAAAGGACTCCAAATGTAACCAGGACTCAGGACTCGGATTGCCAACAGACAGGCAGGTTCAAGGTCTGTCAGACAATCGCTGTGTCTTTGAGACTGAGAGTGAGGGAGCGGGACTCGTTTGCATGTAGATCCCGCAGGATTTATGGCTCAGCCAGGATACGCCCCACCCATCCAATCCAATCGCAGCCAGCCACAGGACCTCCTTCCCGACTTGAAGGGCCAGCGGACAGCTTTGATGATGGAGTGCGATATTGTTGCGTTTTAATTGAATTTTCTTTGTGGGCCAACAACGGCAGCGGCGGCGGCAGCGGTGGCAGCACGACAAATACAATAAAGGACAAACAGCAGGAATCGCAGCGAGGAGAGGGGGTTTCCCCCTTCAGGAAAGTGGCAATGAAGGCAATAATGAAATGAAATTCACTAACAAAAGGCAGCCAACTATTGTTTTTATTGCCTTTTGTCGCTGTTTCTGTTGCTGTAGCTGTGGTTGTGCGAATGTGCTGCAATTGTGTTGTTTGGCTTCCTCCCGGCGGTCGTGTCCTTTTGTCCTGCTTTTCCAGGAGCTGTTGTCAGGCCACACAAAATAATATAATTCCCGCATATTGCCAACGGTGGCTTTTAATAAAAACGCCATCCACCTGCTGCTGCTGCTGCTGGTGCTTTGGCTGCTTCTTCTGCTCCTGTCGCTTCTGGTTGATGGAGATTTAGTGTCCAGGGAAAGCCACTGGATCCACTTGAAGTCGAGCGCCGCAGTTATGCAGATTTCTGGGGGATTTTTCTCGTGTTTATTAGACCGAGTTTCTCCAATTTTTTGGCAAACTGTTTCATGTTTTATGAGAATTAATGTGCTGCGTAGGCAGGAATTTAAGGCAACCTCTCCATCCCGGACTCCCCCACAGAACCTACTGCTGGTTATCTGCTGGAATCGCAGTAGACTTTGTTTGCCCAAGACGAGTTCGCAATTTCCTACAGCTGAGCTCAACGGCCCTGGAAAATTCCCCCCCCTGGGCGGCTGTGCAAACATAATGCCCTGCGAATTAAAGCTTTTTTGCCAGCCAATAAATTATTCATGCTGTAAGACAACTCCGCGCGGGGCAAAAATTATAGCCGGGGAAGATGTGGGAGTGCCTTGGAGCGGAAACGGAACTCAATTCATTAAAATGAATGAACGGAGGAGCGCAGCCGAGTGCATGACTTACGGTAAACGGATGCAAGTTGAGAGATGCAAATCCGGCAGATGAAATTGCTGTTTCTGTTGCCAAACTGGCCCTTTTTGCGGGGGGGGCGGGGGTCGTGGGGGGTCTGGCCCATCTAGTTGCCCCAAATTAGATGGGGTACGGAAATATGGAAATTTATACAGTTTCCTCGACTCAAGTGTCCTGCCACTGAGCAGCTTACTTGAGCGGAAACCCCTTTCCGAAGCATTCAAGGGTGGCCATCTTGATTGCTCTATTGGCTTGAATTCAGCCAAGATTAAGATGGCATTGCTTATGTATTGCACACTGTTATAAATTTGTTATTCACTCGTTTAGGTGTTAATTATAATCATCTTAAATTTTTAAAATTTCAAAACTACCTTTGCCTTGAGCTACTTAATGCACTAAAGAGTGGGATTTTAACTGGTTTTAGTGTTAATTACAACCAGAAAATATTTTCAAAGCTTAAAAATTTAACCTATAAGCTTTACGAGTTTAATATTAAAGTGAAATTGAATTCCAATATGTGTTTCACATTGTCATTAGTTTTCTTTTGATGTCAAAAGCCAATTAATGGTTGAACCGGCTCAAATATAAATGCGACACTAATAATTAAACATACGCGTCAGAATTCATTAATGAATAAGAAACCAATTTAATTTGAAATTTAAAGCAATCTTTATTGCAGTACATTATATACATTTTTAACTCTTGATTTTTTCTGTTTAATCTTCAGGCCTGCAGTTTGTCGACACCGAAGAGCATTCGGAGCAATGGCAACGGTCATTGCAACAGCGGCAGTGGCAGCCTGAGCCTCTTCGGTGGCATCCCCACCGGCAGCACCATCACGATGGGCAGCCACGGGGAGAAGGGCAACCAGAGGCTCCGCCGGATTCCCAGCGTTCAGCCAGGAGCCCTCAGCTACGAGGAGCTGGTCAAGGAGGGCACCTTCGGCAGGATCTACGCCGGCAAGCTGGGCGAGTCCTGCGAGGCCCTCGTGAAGACGGTCATCGACGGCGCCTCGCTCACCCAGGTGGCCTGTCTGCTGCAGGACGCCTCCCTGCTGATCGGAGTCAGCCACCAGCACATCCTGGCGCCGCTCCTGGCCAACACGGAGCTGCCGGGACCGCCGGAGATCGCCTATCCCTATCCGTCCAAGGGCAATCTCAAAATGTAAGTGAACGAAAAGTGTTTGAATAAATCTTTAAAAGATAAAACTTTAAATATCAAAAGAAACATCTAAGCTATGAAATATATATCGAACTCTCCAATTAATAATTACTTAATTTATATTGTTATTATTATATGTATCTTCTTCTATTTATTTTTTGAGATCTCAACTATCACTTCTATTGCTTAATTCAGATTACATTACCTAACTACGGCTTGCTTACTTTAAATAACCTACAAGTTTGATTTCCTTTCAAAGAACATGTTTAAATTTACACATATAATATATAATTGCACTTCGTAACTCACTATGAAATCATCTTTAAATTCTCTTCTCAAATAGATACTTACAAAAGTCGCGGGAATCGAGCACTGCATTGAGTACCCGACAGCTGGTTGAGTTTGGGCTGCACATCACCAAAGGATTGGCCTATCTTCATTCATTGGGAATCGTTCACAAGGATATTGCCACACGCAATTGCTAGTGAGTATTTATAAAAGAGATATCTAAAACATCAAGCTGTTATTTGAAAAAATGTTATTTAAACCAAAAATTATATCTTTATTTTTTTATTAATTCTAATTCCAGCCTTGATGAGGAGTCCTATGTGAAGATCTGCGACAGTGCGCTATCCCGCGATCTCTTCCCCGACGACTACGATTGTCTGGGCGACAATGAGAATCGTCCTCTGAAGTGGTTATCGCTAGAATCACTCCAGAAACGGGTGTATGCCACGCAGGGGGATGTGTGGGCGCTGGGCGTTACCTACTGGGAGCTGGTCACACTGGCCCAGATGCCTCACGAAGAGGTGGATATATTCGAGCTTACCAATTACTTGGCCGCCGGCTTTCGGCTGGAGCAGCCCGTCAACTGTCCGGATGAATTGTGAGTATCCTGAGGAAGACCCAAAAATATCTGGCCGAGGCTAAAGAACACATATATTTTTCTTCCCTCGACTTGACCCCTTTCTCAACTCATAGCTTCACCGTTATGAACTGCTGCTGGCACAGCGAGGCCAAGCAACGACCGACGCCCTCACAGTTGCTATCGTATCTGCAGGACTTCCATGCGGACCTGGGCATGTACATCTAAGCGAGACGAAGGACTGACGAAGGACTCCGCAGCGGGAGTCAAGTGGAGTCAAGCGGAGCGGAGCGAAGCCCATGATAAATTAATTGAAACTTTTGCATTTTAAATGTGAGATTAAATGTGAATTTACCTGTTAGAGTTTGGCGCAAAACCAATTACAATGAAAGCCAGCTAACTTCAGATATACGTAAGCAACCACAGATAAACACACACACTACAACACTGGGGTGGACCGCTATCAGTTGAATGTAAATATGTTGAGGAGTATAAACAAAGATCAAAATACATTTGGGTCACACTGCCACACTGCGTATGAGTAATGCAGCTTAGAATCATTGTCACTTAAGCGTTGAAAAGAAGAAAACTAAATCCATGTGTGCATAAGGGATAAGTACAAATAATACGTCGCTTGAACAGCTCACTCAGCATAAAGTTTACGTTTGAACTACACTGCGTATGAGTGATATCCTGGGACACCAAATTTCAAATAGCAACTGAGGTCCACCCAACACAATAGAACAGTTTGTGGCTATCAATTTCGAACCCGATTACACAAACCCTGGCACCAAGTGGCCCCCAGGCGGCACGAGGGTTAAGCGTTAGATAAAACTGACATTTAAGTAGTTAGCAATTGAATAACAAACACTCACACGCAGCGCAACACACACAAACACACGCAAACAAACAGACAGAAACCTTACATGATAAATGAATGTGAATTATTGATGTGCATATTTTATTGAATGTGTGTAGGTGTAAGCAAAGGACGAAGGATCGAACGAGAGGGGAAAAGAAAAAGAGAGAGAGAGAGAGAGGTGCGACAACAGGATGCGGAATCTTTTGTTCACGAATGTTGTCCTCGAGATTGTTACGAAAGCGATATATTTATTTACCTTGATTATTATTATTACTATTGCGTATGTCATAAGGGAGGAAGTTCAAAACAGAATCTGAATCAGGTGAAAAGCAAAGACAGCAAATGTTAAACCGATGGCAAAACAACCGATAAGCATTATTCACACGAACACACAATTACACATGCATGCGTAGAGCTCCCTTGACCCCTTAACCCCCTTAAATCCGGATGCCTTTAACCCCTAACTTGCTCCCAGCTCACATAACGCACCATAATTCAGTTTTGGAGAACCTTGTCGCAATCGTTTCGTTGCTCAATTATTTCAATGTCAAAGGGGAGTAATCTGCTCGCTTTTGACAGGACACGCCATCAGATATGCAAGTGCAGCTGGGATTTCGCTCAGTGCACTTGCACTTGCTTCTCGTTCTGTCACTCGGCTCCCAACGTGAGCCAAAATCCCCAGCTTAAGACGTCCTGTTGTTTGTTTATGCCTTTTAGTTGAATTAGCCAAGAATTGTTTCTCTGTTTCTGTTTCTGTTGCTGTTTTCGTTTCCCCAGAGTTGTGTATTAATTTGCATTTTCGTTAGCCAAGTCAGGCGGCAACTTAAAGTTGTCATGCCCCAGAAAACCCCCAACCCCCCAAATAACACTAGGCAAGTATCAGGGAGTGGGGAGAGGTGTGACCATCAGACTTTGAAGATGAATTATTTCGTGTTGTTTTGAACTTGGCTGAAAACACCTCTCCCCATTCCAATGCATTCCAAATGAGCCAGTGAAATTAATAGTTAAAGCATTGCCGTTTAACAGAAGGCCGCCACCTAAACGTAGTTTAAATGTTCTCTGTAATAATCAAACACAAGCAACTCAGCAAAGTATAGGAATCAAACAGCAGTCACGCACCCAAAATAACTAAGGATGAAATAGAAAATAGTTCCAGACCAGCAGCCGCTTATTCGTCTAGCTAAGTAAGCCAACTCCGTATGTTTTATTCTTAAGCTTCGCACTCGACTATGGAAACGTTACTAAAGGAAATACCGAACTGCAAAACTATCAAAGCGCTCTGCATTTAATAAGTATCCCTGCAAAGGCTGCCGGGCAGCCCCACAAATACACACAAACACAAAGAACACAGACACACATACCCAAACATCTATACACACCTACGATTATCCTGTGAGGAAGACAAACACAAATTTCAAATAGATTATAAAGCTAAGGAGAGCTACACACTAGCCCACTACTACTATAACTAACTGAATGTGTTTCATGTTTATATATGTGTACGTGAGTGTATGTCTATGACTAAACGTATATTTTGTCGTCAAATTGAAAACTAACTGTAAAGGCTATTAAGAGGAAAACAAAACCAATACCAGCAAACGTGCAAGGCCCGGAAGGAAAAGGCTTTAACACACACGCACACACACAGATACACTCTCACACGAACACCCAGAAACCACAGAGCAAAAACAAATTGTCATTCACTCTGCATATGTCTCACTCTTTAACTCTATATAGATGTATCTCTGTATCCTACTTTTAGATATACTCTAGCGTATGATTGTATGTGTACACAGAAACTCGAAACTAATGCGTTTTCGTCTTTAAAAACAAAATGGAATATCTGCTAAGACACACACACACACACACACAAACACTTGAAACGCCCTCACACCTTTAAGACCCCCACCCCCAAAACCACCTAGCCCCTCTCCACCCCGCCCCTCTGTCTCTATCCAAACGCTAGTATAACGATGGAAGTGGGCGTGGCACTAAGACAAAGCTAAGAAAAAACAGAAATTCAATTTTTGTGAAGAGCAGCAGGCGAAAACGAAAGAGAGAAAAACAAAGCAAATAAATTAAATGTTCCTTTTGAATCATAAACAAAAATTGCAATCTGAGCAATCTCGGTGCTTTATTAATCTACTGACGGTTTGTATAATGGGGAGCAGCTGGGGAAAAAAGCAGGCTGCATCAAAGGCCCGTGAAACTGGGGTTTGGGAACAGGGGACTATGGATGGGGACCGATTCGATGGGCGGTAAAGATCCATGCGAGGGCACGTTCGCACACAACAGGAGCGGATTGCGATACTTTCAAGACTTGGGCCTCTTATGTGGGGCCATGGAAATAAGCCTCATCACCAATGCAGAGAGGATGCGTAACAACTCCTTCAGAGCTGCAGTTTCGAATATAGAGTTCACCTTTAAACCACACAAAAGATTAAATATTATGATCGATTTGATTTTTTTCAATAAAATGAAGCATAATTTTCGAGCAATCTGGATTTGAATTTATGTTCTCAGAACTCAAAATATTTTCATCGAATTTTGATGTTATCGTTCCATAAAAACTTCGTTTTAAATTGAAGCTCAAAATCCCATTGAAGAAATTAAGAATAGAAACGGTTCTGTGTCTTGGCTGCAGGGTTGAACAAGTTACCCTGCAGTTCCTTAAACCGCCCCTGGACAGGGACTGCCATCCTTTAACTCGGACAAACATATTTGCCGTGCGTGTCAAAAACTGAGCGATGCGCATTTGCTGACCCCACGATACCCTTTCTTCATGGGATTCGTTCGCGCCGCTCTAATTACAAAGAGTATGGAGTCAGGCCTATCGACTATCATGTTCCCTAATACTCAAGTGTTGCTCTGGAAGATTTAAATACTTTGAAGGGTTAATTTGTTTAATCTTTTCAAATCTCATGTTGGGAATACCCTATTGATTAAAATGCATCTTTATGAGATTTTTAAAACTTAACTATGTTATATTTCAAAATGATACATTTAATGATACAAAAATATTTTTTTACCTTTAAATAACTTTCCTTATTAAATAGCTCAAGTCTTAGGAAGTCTTTAAAACAATCTCCGTAAGGTTTTTAATATCTAACTTTTTCCATCATGAACAGTATTAACAGATTGCATATACCCCTAGATTACAGGGTATACTCAATCTTTTTACCCTGCGGAGCTGTCACTGGACATTCGCTTTTTCACCCGTTCTCATAACGACAAAACTTTGAGTGGCAGCCCCACAAGAGGGGGCGTGACCAAGGAGGGGAAAAGCTGCGTTATGTGTTTGCCTCCGAGCCGACAGAGAAAAAAAAACACGGAATCGGAAAACAAAACAAGCTAAATGGAAAAATCCGGGCTCGAGTTTGCCGAGGAACAACATCGTTGGTCCTGCGTGTCCCCCTCCACTTGAAATGGGAAAATGGGAAATCAGAAGTGCGAGGAGCGAGGAGCGGAAGTGCCCCACGCGGATATAGCAACAGGTGTACTCAGTGGGCTTTCCCCATCTTCCATTCCATCGGATTAAGTTTTGTAATTAGCCGAGTCTGATTGAATTGGAAATCATGTTTGGGAATTAATGAGCAATTAGTTGACGCATTATGAGTGTCTGTCTACCCGATTTGTGGTCGGCTGCATTGATAAGATCCCCGGACTTAGATGGGGTTTGTGTAGGTACACGTATATGTGCATATATTTTACACTCTGCAACATAATTCAAGAAATCGTGAAGAAGTAAAAGCATTTTCTAAAAAAAACTTTTGAAGACAAAAACAACTTTGCTGAAATAGTAATAAAACTATTTATGAGGATATTTGTTGGATTAGGTTACATACATAAATCAATCTTTTAATTTTAAAATTTAAATAAAGAATGTTTCAGATACTTAATCTGTTAGAAACAAGACAAATCGTATTGGGTGCACCTTTATTGAATTGTCAGTTATATATACGCACTTGTCCTAAAGTTTAGAATTTCCTTGAGCGTTAGTGTGGTTGATGAATGGGGGGATTGCTCTCGCTTGGATTGCAAAGGCCCATTTGGCAGGCATAAATCAGAATTCCTGATTGAGTTTATCGCAGCGTTTTGCTATTTTAATCTATTTAGCATTTAATTGGCAGCCAGAGGACCTGAGAGCGACATGAAATATGCAAAACGTTTTTAAATCATTTAAAAGGCTTTATTATTTATGAATGCTGATGATTTGTGGCACTATGCCCGCGCCGGAAATCGATACCACCGGGCACTAAACCAATTAAACCCGGGTAAACATATCAAACGGCCTCAGCCGGCAATGATCGAAAAGTTAGATTACAAATATAATGTTTTTATCCTGCGGTTTCAACAGTGCATTTTTTACGCGCGATTTTCAACTCAATCGGTTTAATTGTTTATGCAGTCCGCGTTTGCCTGGAATGTTAAACAAATTGCGGTATTGCGGGCATATTGCAATTTTATCTGCTCAGCATTATGTGCACGCCGTGCAGATGATGTGTTTTTTTTACCGCTTTTAATTAAAATGATGTATAAACTTACATATACGGCCGAGCCGCAGAACTGCAAACCACAAAATAAATAGATTTCCGCTCTCAAACGAGCGGAAAGCCCGCAACTGCGATTATGTTTGCGAGAGCTCACTGGACTGTTATTACAGCTTCCAGTTATCGCAGTGTATTTTCCATTTGATTAAACGTAAATATTGTAGCAAAAACAACGGGCAAGAACTACTAGCTGCCAGACTTCCAACTGCCAATTGGTTGGGAAAGTTCATCAAATTGACAGCGAACTTCAATACCAGAGCGAAATCGTTTTCAGTTGCTCGTTCGCTCGTTCGTTTGTTAGTTATATGCTGCCGCTGCATTAATTAAAATTTTACACCCGGCTGCACGGCGAGCAACAATAACCACTGAAATAATTCAGCTTGATAGACAGCCAAGCCGGCAATTAAACATTCGGTGCACCCAAGATCGAATCTAAAGTTGTGTCTGCCACAACAGCAAACGGCAAAACAGCAGAACAGTACAACAGCAACTTATCGCCAGCGACACCAGACGGTTGCAGCTGCAGCTTTTGGCCATGTGGCTGGATAACTTGTGGGCGGGGCCAAGTGATGACAGCTGTGGAATCCGAAAAGAAGCCACGACAATAGCATTAAAAATGTATGCAATACATGCGTTTTATTTGATCAGCTAAATAATAAATGACTTCATTTAAAGCAAGCAAATATTGTTTTTTAATTTATATTTATTCTTATTTGTCAATAATAAAGGCAAATACTTTTTTAATTAAATTTAATGTTCACAGAGAGCAATTTAGGGTTTTAACCAATTTAACATACAATAATATTTATCTAACAATTACATTTACTATTTATTGCATTTAATGATGTTAGCTCTTTCTTTATTTTTTGCAAAAACTCCACAAAATTTTGATGCTAAGAATGGGTTTAAAATATTTTTATTATTACCTATATATAATATATTATTTACGTTACCTAGATTTATACTTGAATAATTTTAAACGCTTTATTTAGGCAAACTTCATTGAACCAAAATACATTTTTTAAGAACAGTTTTTGCATAGAGACTTAATTCCCTCTTAAAGTTATGATCTGGCTAGAAAAGAGACAAATTCCCAGATCTTGCGTTTTGGCTATTGATAAAATAAAATGGCAAGAGCAGTTTACAACTTTCGACCGTTTACAACTAACAAAGGGTCACAAATCAAGTTGGTCGGAGGGTTGGCTCGTGACTAACCGGAAGTCGCCATGTGCAAGAATTCCGCCACCCAGCAGCCTCACCCCCTGAACTCCGTTCCACAGCCACCCCACCCACACCAAACTCCCCCACCATTTCATTTTCCAACTTGGGCCGCCTGCAGTGTTGCGATTTAATTAAAGCGCCATTAAGTCAGCAATTAACAACAACAGCAGCGGCAACAATGGCAACCAAAGCAAAGGTACAACAACGTCAACAAAGGGCAAACAACTTTGACGCCCTGGCTTCAGCTTCAGCTCCGGCTTCGGCTTTGGCTTTTCCTTTTCCTATTCTTTTTCCTATTTTCCCGCTTCCGTTTCCGCTCTTCCCGCTTTCATTATGTTTGCCTTCGCTTTGTTGCTGTTGGCGCATTAAATTCTTTTTGCCGTGTTATCGCTTAGAGAATTCATTAGCGATTGCAGGGGGACATCCATTGGGCCTCCCCACGTGGTCCTCGCCAGAAACCATTTTGCATATCGCGGAAAAGCAGAAACACAGGACACAGGATAAAGGACCCACACTCATTGGCCAAAGTCGCAACCCTTTGGTTTCGCCGACAAACTGCATCTCACAACGCATGGAATTACTCCACTTTATTCTGAATTTTTAATGTAAGGGAAAATTCCAGGAATTTCCAGTCCTGGGGCAAATATATTTTTAGTATTATTTCCACTTCCATTAAGGAAGTAATGAAGGGAATCCGCAAAGGTTTATGGACCCAAGTAATCAGCCTTTTAAATACTGAAAAATTCAGTAATAAAGGTTAAAGCTTTTTATTTAAATGAACTAAATGTTGAAACACTTTTCACTTTTGCTGAGAATTTAAAATTTAATAGTTAAATCAGTAATTGGCAAAATTACTAGAAACATTAAAAATAAAGCAAATCCACATTTGATTTGCGAATTATTTATCAATGCATGTATTGTGATAACTTAAATTGATTTTAGGTATTCATGTTATGGGTAATTGGAGTACATTTAATTACCGAAAAAAATACTCTCACCAATCATTTCAGAATCAGCTGAATTAATATTCGAATGATATGCAGTACAGTGAATACAATTATTAATATATTTTCAACATAAAAATATACAATTACCATAGTGTACAAACCTGTATTACTTTCCGTTTTACTATTTTAAATAAAAATAAAATACTTGTATACGCAAAGTTGTTGATATAAAAACCATAACAAGTACACAAAAACTAACTTTCAAATGAAACTAAATTGTAATTTTAATAAAAACGGAAAGTTGTGGTGTTTTGGCAACTTCAAGCATACTTGAGTAGATGAAGCCAAACAAACAAACGCATTGGTTAAACCAAATTTCATGAAAAGCACTCGAATATGAAAAATTCCTTGAATTCGAAATAATGCAAGTAGGAGTCAGCCCCATTGTGTGGATTATAATTCCGCCTTTCCATTGTTTAGCATAGCAACTAAACTCAAATTTCGGATTGCAGAAGGGGTAATAAAGGGGATTGTGCGGGGTTTCTACGGCTTTCTACACAAAAAGCACATTAAAAACATGAAAAAATAAAATAAACCAGCCGCTGCTGCCGTTGCTCCTGCTGCTGCCATATTCCACTTTTTTATTTTTCTAATATTTGACTTTGTTCTTTCGTTCCGACGAGAAAGTTTTATTAGGGGTACGTGTCAGGGTTGCCATGTGTGCGGATGTCGAGGGGATGTTTAGGGTTAGACTGGGGTTTCCACCGGGGGTACGACGAATGAACTGAAACTGTCAAAAGTGCACATTCCGCTCTTGACATTTTGCCAAAGCGCAGCTTGAACTCTTGCCCTGCGGGGGGAAAGGGATTCAGGGGGGTTCAAGGGGTCCTCATAGCTGATGGGGAAAAGTGGGAAAGTGTCGTGCCAGCGATTGGCATTGAAAGCGCAAATGAAAGGGAAGTCCTCGTTTGAATGGCAGTGGCAGCTTGCGATGGAATCCCAGACATATACCAATCCCAATCCCAATCCCAATCCCAGAGGGTGGAACCAGCCAGCGCCACAAAATACGGACGGCACGCGTTCGTCCGCCCCCCTCGGGGGTTGCACCACCCCCCTGCCCCTCCCACTTCCCCCTCTCCACGCCCGTGACAAGCAGTTAAAAAAGGCTAAACGAGAACGAGGCATAAACCCAGAAATTTGCTCTCAGTACGTTTATTGCTTTTAAATTTGCCAATTGTCGAATCTGGCGCTCGTAAGTGCATGTGTGTGCACTTGGAAAAATACATGTGTATCCATTCAAATTTAATTTAATTTAATTTTCATTTTAAAAAAGTAGGGCAACCTTTACCAATCCTACATTTTATTCGGCATGTTAAAATTAACATTTTAATCAATTGTTATAATTTGTTAACTTAAACACTCTTCAACTTCATTGGAAGTTGTTAAAAGTGTACATCTAGACGAAGAAGTGACTTTATCTATTTAATTTTATTAAAGCTTAATCTTAATTTTTAAAAGCTGCGTATAAAGGTATTTTTGAACTATGTTTTTACATTTTGATATTAAACCAAGTTTAAAGTTAATTGTTTTAAAGGCTACATTGCACATCTAGTTGTAAATAAGTTGTATTATTCCATGGCAAAAAAGGACATTTTTATATACATAACTAATTTTAAATTCTTTCAGTGTACCTGTCTTTCATGTTCGTTTGAGCCAGTCCGTGTGGGGGTCTACAACAAATTGCTTATCAAGCGAACGCATGTAGCAGTCAAACTGAAAAGGGGCCGCCAAAGGCGACGGCAAAGGCAAAAGCAGCCCTTAATTTGGCCAATTTAAAAATGGAAATCGACTCCCCCGAGAATCGGCGATGTGTCAATAAAATGTGATTAACAAGTTGCTGCACAAAATGCCGGCACAGACTGCAATCGGATAATGGCGATGCCAGTGGAAATGCGAAAGTAATGCTCCCCCGACATTCCCTCAGGCATTATTCGATGTTTTGTCTCCCTGGGTTTTCACTGTGGCAACTTTTTTGTATTGCAGATATAGTAATAAGAGGGGGAGGGGAAGGGGAGGAGGGGTACTGTCCTGGGAGCGTGGCGAATTATCCCTTTCATAAGTGACAAATACGTCCACCCTTATCAGCCACGGCTGCTGCAAGTAATGAGGTTTTATTCCAAAGCAACCGACTGCTGGCCGTGGTAATTCGCAATAAATATGCAGCCAGGACCAGACCATCAGCACAATCTCACTGACAGGATAAGGATACCAGCCACCCCCTCTGATCCTGGCCGAAAGTGTAAACGCTGTCGGGCGAATTGTAAGTTCCACAAACGCATTCCGCTGGAGATTAATCATCACCCAGTCCGCAATGCCACAAGCATGAATCCAATAATCCCTGGACTTAATTAAAGTTGAGGCAAGCTCCATTTCAAACAAGTTAATGATAGCTTGCAGCTTAGGTTGGACTATAATGGGGATGCTTTAAATAATACTCTGCTGCTCAGTCATTTGAAATACTATACTTGTCATCTGGGATGTTTATCATCTTTTAACTTATTTATTCTACACTAAAATTCCTCATGGAACGTAGTCTTGTTTGTAAAGCCTTTTCAATTGTTTCTGGTTTAAGTGAACATTCCTCTGTTCTAGTGATTTACATTTTAATTACTTAGCCATGATTTAATTACTTATAACTACAGATTTTGTTGGCCAAACAAATACAAAAAGCTTTGACATTTTCGGAAAGCTTGTCTAATTACCATTTGGCATAGATAATAATGGTGGGTTATGTATTATTTAAGACATTTCTTTTTTAAAAGACAACTGTAAATATATTAAACGGTCTGTTTAAATCACCATGAAATTAAAGTGGTATAGATTTGCTGACTAATAAGGTTCAATGATTGAGATATCTTAACTTTGTTTGCAATGGAAAACTTTTGATAAGAAGTACTTAATTTACCTCTTCAACTCAAGTGTTTCCAACTAAAATGTGGTAACTTTTAGCAGAAATCTGGCAATATGATTTTCTTCCGATATTCTTTTATATTTATTCCATTTAATGATAAGCGAACCAAATCTTTTCCTGGAAGGTTGGCAAGAAATTTACGGAACTGCCTTGTTTTGCACGACGACTGGCGTGAGTCAGGTAATCTTATCGGTGGGCCCCTTGATTGCATGGGGGATTCTTATTCTTATACTTTGATTTCATTTTGCACTATTTGGCTTTTTCGCCAGACTCTCGCCCCCTTGGCCACTTCATGAGCCCGATAAGCCCGCCCTGTAACAGAAGTTAATTAAAAGCGAAACGCTTTTGTAAACATTGTCTTACTCATTCGCCGCGAAGCGGTATAAAAAGCGGCGCATTTCGCACAGCTGACATTAAACGATCGAAAAGCGTTCAAAGCACCAAAGCAAAATGCGTGTTCTCCTCATCCTCTCCGTTGTCCTGGCCGTGATCCTCGGCTGCCACGCCTACAGTGCCACCTGGGGCCGCAGGAACTCCAACGACTACCTGCTGTCCCGCACCACCGAAGCCCGCAATCCGATCAAGAACAACTACTGGAACGTGAACGTGAACTACCCCACTGGCTACTACAACATCTCGATTGTGTACGTCTACGACAACTTCAAGAACAACTCCGGAGCAAGTCCCAGTTTGTACTCCGGTGGTCCAGGATATCGATTTGCCACCGTGAACCTCCGTGGTCAGGTCAACCGCGGCATCAACTCCACCGTCGAGATCTGGGGACGCTAAGCAAGAAAGGAAATAACGAATCTACTCTAAACAAATAAAACACTTTGCAATTTAATATACATAACGTGTTGGTTATCTTTATTTTAATCGAAGTTGGTCAGCCCACGGCTTTAATAGACCCAAAACAAACAGGTGTGGTTACTCAATCAAAAATACAATCTGTTTATAAGTTTTGCAAATAATGTTTAAGCAATATCAGCTGAAGCTTAAGCATTTATTTCCTAAAATTGGCTTGCTCTTTTGATAATTAAAAATTGTTTTGGTTAACTGTTGAAAGTTTAACTCTATTTAAAAACAAGTGTTCGTCAATTGTATGTTTTGGGGCAAGATTTGATTCTAAAATAAAATGCTTTTAAATATTATCAGGGCCGGAGAAACAGTTTTGAGTGGGGTGATGACCTCACAAATTTTCAATATTAATTAATATTAATGTTAATTTAATGTTAAAATAATGTTAATTTAATATAATGTAAATGTAATGTTAACTAAATGTTAATTAAATTAATATGGCCACGTCAGCGACAATGATAATTAATTATTTTTTTCGTTTTCTCGCACCTATAATTCCCAAGTGGTTCTGGCTGATACGTAGTGGGATACCCCTTGATTTTGGCCAATTTCTCAGTTCTCCGGGATGACCGGCAGTTTCTCTAAGAAACTTTTTCCGGTCTCTGGAAGTGTGTGTGTGTGCGTGTGTGTTAGTGACGTGGTTCCAGAGTGGGAGAGAGTATCTGGCCAACTCCTCCTACTGGAGTCCACTCCCGGATGCAGTGCATCATGGGTCGACTCCTCCTACTGGAGTCCACTCCCGGATGCAGTGCACCATGGGTCGACTCCTCCTACTGGAATCCACTCCCGGATGCAGTGCATCTTGGGTCGACTCCACCTACTGGAGTCCACTCCCGGATGCAGTGCACCATGGGTCGACTCCTCCTAGGATGCACTGCATCATGACCTGACTTGGCATGAACTTAAAGGTGCCCGATCCCTTCCTACATGTAGTGGACTCCAGGATGCAGGGCTTCCAAACCTGAAAAGGTGAGTTGCAGTTTTTTTTAATTATGTGATGACGTGGCTTTTGTTAAAAAAATGCAGTTAATTAATTAAATTTTTTTTATATTTTTTTTTCAGGTTTTTGGTTGTGTATTTGGCTGATTGCAGAAAATAATTGGTGACACCATCCAACTTGTAACTTGAAGTTCGACATCAGGATGCACTGCACCAAAGTTATTACGCAATAAGTACATCCTTTAGACAATAAATAATTAAGTTATATATTTTAAAAAATCATAAATATTTTGACAAAGAAACTAAAAGAAACAGATAAAGATCTGAAAGTTTTCAAGAACATTAAAGAAATTTGAAAGGTAAATTTTATCAAATATTGAACTTGAAGTACATGAAAATCAAACACAATTAATAATTGTAAACAAGTAGCGACATATAATATAAATATATGTAGTATATATATAGTAATAGTTGTAAGAATGCGGTTACCGGAAATATATAGTATGCTGACACCACATAAATGGACTGGACAACAGGCTGCAGGATCAATTATGAATGGCGTGATCTTCTATTGAACTCCACTCCAGGATGCAGTGCATCACCTCATTGGGGTATGTATTTTTTAAACAACCGATTTGTATAAAATAATTTAACTAATATTTTGGAATGCTTCTTTTCATTACAGGTGATGACTATACCTTTCTACTTGGAGTGTACTTCAAGATGCAGTGAATCAATAACCCAAAGAGGTAAATACCTTTTTTACTAATACCTTTTTTACTAACAAATTTATTCTAACTATTATTATTTGTTACAAATTATTTATTATTATTTTTTTTCTTATTTAATTTCAGGGTAAAGTGTAAAGTGTACATGTTGCGGATAAAGTGGTTGCAGTGGTTATCTTATTGAACTCCACTCCAGGATGCAGTGCATCACCTCATTGGGGTATGTATTTTTTAAACAACCGATTTGTATAAAATAATTTAACTAATATTTTGGAATGCTTCTTTTCATTACAGTGATGACTATTCCGTTCTGCTTGGAGTGAACTTCAAGATGCAGTGAATAAAAAACCCAAAGAGGTAAATACCTTTTTTACTAACAAAATAATTCTAACTATTATTATTTGTAACAAATTATGTATTATTATTTTTTTTTCTTATTTAATTTCAGGGTAAAGTGTTAAGTGTTAATGTTGCGAATAAAGTGGTTGCGGTGATTATCTTACTTCAAGAAGACGAAAGATTGCAGTGCAGATCAAGGAGCTAACTGAGTAAGTACCAATCTGAAAAGATTTATTTATGATAATCTCATAATTATTTAAGTAGTTTTTACATTAAGTTGGAAAATGCTTAACTTGGGAAGTATTTGGGAGAGTTACTATCTATCTATTTAAATAGAAACTGATTTAATTGGGCCGTGGTAAAGGCGGGATTTCTCTTCGTTTTTCTTCGATATACTCTATATGCAGGGCCGGAGAAACAGTTTTGAATCATACATTCAACTGATAATAATGGATGTAAATAAATTTTTTTCTACAAGTCAAGCATTTTGGGGTGTTGAATTCCACACCCGCTAAGATTTGGCGTGTGGAGTGCTCAACACCCGGTATACACCTTCCGCCGGCCCTGAATATTATGTTTTCTTAAATTTGGACTAATCCTTAAACACACAAATTTAATTTGTTGAAATGTTTTTAATTTGTTCTTTCTCTGCAGGGGTGCAAAAACAAATTAATGCTGACTAATACTGGTTTCTTTTACAATACCAACAGCCGGTTTCATTTGCTAATTTCCTGTTTTTTCATAATCAGAAATCAAACAGTTTTTGTTCCCTAAAAAAATGTAAACAAATAATCATTTAAAATAAATAAAAGCTAACTGTGCTTTCTACAGTGATAACCAAACAATTAGTGGTGTTTTCAAGCATAAAGTTTATCTTATCAATTACTGTATATAATTCTCATGTACAGCTAACTGAGAATCGCATAAAGTGTATCATAAAATATTATCCAAAGTATCGCTTTTATTTTTGCTTTGTCAATAGGAATAGCATATTGATGTGTCTATCTCTGGCCGACTTTGCATAATCGTGTATTAGCCTTTGGTCAATCCCCATAACTCCCAGACAAGTTTCGAATTTCCTCGACTGTTTGGGGCTTTTCCCCCAGTTACTTTCGGCACAAAGGATGAAAGTCGCCTGCCCGAGGAAAAGGGGAAACTTTTCCTTTTTGCCAGCCAGCGGCGTAGTCATCTAGCAAAGGAAAACATTCAATATTTAATAAATATCAGTGAGGGTGTATGTGTGTGTGTGTGTTTCCTGCAGTTGGAAATTAGGACTGGGGAAAGGACTACTGCCCACAAATCCTGTGAGGCCCAGACAGACTGTTAAAAGGGCTAGAGGGCTAAACCAGGAAAAAAAATTTGGAAAAGAAAAGAAAATAAAGGAACCGAGGGGAGACAGACTTATTGGCCTTGGCTCATTTGATTCCGGGGGATGGTGTAAAATTTGTATTTCAAATTGCCAAAAGCAGCCCCAAAAATCCAGTGTGGGACTGATATGTTGAGCTGCACGGTCAAAAGGATGTGTCGGAGTCCCTTTTTTTTCTCTCCTCAGCTATTTCCCCAGTTTATGTATCGAATTTAAATTTCAATTTTAAACGTCTTGAGGCTACGGATTCGGATAGCATCCCAATTCCTAGCCCCGCCTGCTATCCGGCCGGTAAATATTTACACAGGGCGCACAAATGTTTGAAAAGTTGTCAACGAAAATGTTTCACTTAGTTAATATGCAAAGCGCGGCCGCTCGGCTGCGATGCAAAGCCCCGGATCCGGATATGTTTACGGATACGGCCACGGCTACGGATACAGACGGAGGTTCTGATTCCCCCTCCCCCTCTGCTCTTCCCTCTTTCCGCAGAAGAGAAAGTCGTTCGATAAAAAATTGGCCCCAAAAAGTCACGTAACTGCAGTGCACAAGCGAAAAAAAAAGAAAAAACAGAAGTGGGGAAGGGGGTGGTGCATCCGAATTCGATTTGCTGTGGGGTTCCGTGACCCCCCGCTGTCCTAACTTTAAGAACTGGCAAATGCGACTGCCGAATTTCGCTTCCGGCCGCCATCACTTGGCATTCCTCATACGCCGCGTTGGCCGCCACAACGAAATGCCTAACGTAAGCCGCTTGAAGGCTAAGCTGACCACTACACCAGTGTCCACGGGTAACCAGACTGCCACACACACACACACACGTACTCCCCCACCTCTCTGCACCTGCCACCCCCCATCCACGTTTGTCAACGGCAACAGCTTGCCGAGCAATTACTTCGGACTGCCCGGAAATGTCGCCCCAAAACCAGCAGCGACAGCAGTGGCAGCTGCTTGGAGCAGGTCCTGCCTGCCACTCCCTCCGCCTACACCACTCTCCTCCCGCCTTCACACACACATTCCGGGGGTGTGGCATATGTCTGGTGCTGTAAGGACAACCGCCGGCATCTGCTTACACTGGCCCCTGCGGCTCCGGAACATCGAACACACCCGCCTCGAATGGGATTTCAATTAGCAGCTGCCCTCCCACCCCAGATGCCGACTTTGTTGTCCAGTGTTGCGGCTCAACCCGCCACGTTTACAGGACACTGTCCGAGTGCACCGATAAAAATGGGACTTAAGTTCGACGATATTCCTTCTTCAGGCTTAAAAAGTAGAATTCCACTTTGTATTACTGATCTTGTGTGGCAATTTAATGCTTCAAAGAGTTTTGAACTAAAATAAGATGATTTTAGGGAACTTAATAAAAAGTCGTTATACCTTTAATCTTTTCTGAAAATTTATAAAGTAATAGAAAAAACACCAAAAGTACTATTAAACGTAGTCTCTAGATAATATAGAAATAAATCACGTCCAACTTAGGAGTTGAGAACTGCCATTGAATAATTGTTTTGATATTTAAGCAGCAGCGTATTTCGTTTGTTTATCTTATATCTATATCCATAAAAAGGAATTTAAAACATTATAAACATTACCTATGTCCTCAGTAACTTTTTTAAACAG